TCAAATACCAACATTGTTATATATTAAATCTGTTTTAATATTGTTTTAGAGTAGACAAGCCTCTGAGAGTTTCATTTCATGTTCCTATTAAGTTGGCAAAATAGTTCGTTCGAATTTTGACGCACTTGTTTCTTATACAAGGAGATGTATTTGTTGTATAACATATTGTCCATTCTGTTCTATGATCTCTACCCATCCAGAGATGGGCAAAATCTTTATCTAAATAAAAATTTTAAATATCGAATAAAGATGAAAAATTGTCATCTATTACTCGTCGAATAAAGATACATAACTTTATCTTTATTCGATGACTGCCGAATAAAAAAATATATTCGAGATAAATGTTCTCAAAGGATACAGATAACTGAAATTATTTTTATCCGAAGGTTAAAGATACCTGTTTTATCTGCAGAAAGTTTCAATCGTAAGATACTCTTCGCACTTTTAACTTTATCCGACGGGTAAAGATACCTGCTTTAACTGCAGAGAGTTTCACTCGTTAGGTAGTTTTCCCATTTTTAACTTTAACCGACCGCTAGAGATACCTGGTTTCTCCCCGAGAGTTTCAACCCTAAGATACTTTCCCGCATTTGTAACTTTATTCGATGGCTAGAGTTGACAGGTTTCTCTCCAGAGATATTCATCCGTAGGTTATTTTCGCATTTTTATCTTTAACTGAAGTTTCACTCATCGCGTGGGATAACTTTCTTACTTTTATCTTTATCCGAAATTATCGAATAAGGATCGAATAACTTTTTATGCGGTGTTTACTGTTTAGTCGGCGGTTGTAAAGTATAGTTATACATAATTACACATAGTTAAATAGGTGTAATGTAAACAAATTTATACAGGAGTAAGAAAGCATATATTTGTGCATATAGACGTGTACTGTAGATATAAATGATGGTCTTTTTAAATGTTTATATAATTATTGTTATTACAAAATTTCTGATCCTTGACACGACTCGGCAACGAGTAACCGCTCGATGTGATTTCGTGATGTTTCTCATGCAGAAAAATGTGTAGATTCCTGAATGTTTATAATTATTGTTGCTGCAAAATCACCATTCTCCGGCGCGGCGTAGCGCGGCAAGGGATTAACCGATTTAGATGGAACTTTTCACATTTAATATATTGATATATTGATATATTGATGTTTCGCAATTGCAAACAGTTGCAATTGTGCCGCGGATCATACGATCTCGCGAGTTGTTAGTCGTCAATAGTATAAAGAAATGTAGTATCGGCTGTGCCAACGATCTATTGATGGTTGATGATCTAAGAAGTGGGTGAGGGGCCTGGTATTTAAAAAAATAAATAGTTCCCGCGGAGGCCCAGGAGCAGGTAGCCGCGGACGCGAACGCGGCCACCACCCGCGAAACCGCGACCCCGGAGGATGACGCGGCGGCGGGGTGGGTGCCTAGGAAGCACGGCGAGGGGGCCCCGTACAATTTATATTTAATAATTACTAAAATTAAAATTAATTATATTTTATAGTAATTTATATTTAACAATTACTAAAATTAAAATAATTATATTTTATAGTTAGTTAGTTATAGTTTATTCTCTTTGCGGAGTATAATTATATTTTATAGTAAAATTAATTATTTTTATTATTATTATTAAATTAAAATTAATTATAGTAACGAACTAAGGAGTCGAACTTTTATCTTTTTCACAAGTAGTAATAAACTTCAGTAAATTCATTCTAAACTACTGTGTACATTTTACTTACCTTAACCTATAACAAGCCGTTGCTTAATTCAAAGTATCTGTCCTCCTCCTGTTCCAACTTAGCTCTAATCTTATTAATTTCCGGGTCTACATTTTATAAAATTTCTAAATTTCGTTCAAAGCTATTTTCTGAAATAATGAATGCGCTATACATCCAACTTAATGCATCGGCATGCTGCATTCGTTCGCCTTTTCTATGCTTTATAACATAATGATAATTTCGCAATATAAGTGACCATCTAAGAATTCTGGGATTAACCTCCTTTCGCTCGAAGGTTAACTTTAAGCTATTACAATGTGTGATAATAGTAAAGCGTATGCCTTGTAGGTATATTCTAAATCGTTCAAGAGAGTAAATAATCGCCAATGCTTCCAATTCGATACTATGATATCGTGATTCTGTTTGCGTTGTTCGCTTGCTAAAATAACAAATAGGATGAAATTTATTGTCTGATTGTTTCTGTAAAAGCACTGAACCGAATCCTGAAGAACTTGCATCGCAGTGTAGTTCTGTAACAGCCGTTGGTGAATAAATACATAAAACTGATTCGGATATCGTTAATTGTTTTACATTTTCAAAAGGTTTTAAAGCTTCATTATCCCAATTAAATTCCTTTTTTGATTTTAATAAATCATACAGCGGCTTCGAAATGTATGCAAAATCTCGAATAAATTTACTAAATGTGTAGTAGTATCTCCTGTTAATGTCGTCGTGATGTTACTATTAAGAAATGTCGCACAACATTAGAACAATACATAATTATTATATTATAACAAGTTTCAACACGTACCTTTGAAGTACCTACTTCTCCTCTTAATTGTCCTCCTAATTTGTAAGTAAAGGAAAAAGTATATATTTTTTTTGTTAATTTATGTTAGTAAATGCAAAACGCCAGGCTTCGAATAAATTTTAAGTTGCAATTTATTTAATATTACTACTCCAATTTTTGCAATTTTTTCACTTTCAGTAATTCATCAAATTTTGTAATTTTTTCATTTATAATAACTACTAAACAACCCCAGGCCTCGAATAAATTCTAAGTTTGCCTATGTATTTGTCTCGTTTCCTTTTTCTTTCTCGTACTAATTTTTAATTTAACATTGGTCGCTGCTTGTACCCTTTGCACCGTTCGAATAAAGTGAATTAAATAAATCAGACTACGTTTTAATCAATATGCATGTCGATATCCTTTAGTCCTAGTTCAAGTATCCTTGCGCAAGATTCATTTTAAAAACTCACATATTGGAAAGAAACCGTATAATTTCGTCAATTTTATCAGAAATTCTCAAAAAAGTATTTAATAGGGGAAGGTTAAATGTGAAAAGTTCCATCTAGATCGGTTAATCCCTTGCCGCGCTACGCCGCGCTGGAGAATGGCGATTTTGCAGCAACAATAATTATAAACATTCAGGAATCTACACATTTTTCTGCATGAGAAACATCACGAAATCACATCGAGCGGTTACTCGTTGCCGAGTCGTGTCAAGCATCAGAAATTTTGTAATAACAATAATTATATAAACATTTGAAAAGACCATCATTTATATCTACAGTACACGTCTATATGCACAAATATATGCTTTCTTACTCCTGTGTAAATTTGTTTACATTACACCTATTTAACTATGTGTAATTATGTATAACTATACTTTACAACCGCCGACTAAACACCGCATAAAAAGTTATTCGATCCTTATTCGATAATTTCGGATAAAGATAAAAGTAAGAAAGTTATCCCACGCGATGAGTGAAACTTCAGTTAAAGATAAAAATGCGAAAATAACCTACGGATGAATATCTCTGGAGAGAAACCTGTCAACTCTAGCCATCGAATAAAGTTACAAATGCGGGAAAGTATCTTAGGGTTGAAACTCTCGGGGAGAAACCAGGTATCTCTAGCGGTCGGTTAAAATTAAAAATGGGAAAACTACCTAACGAGTAAAACTCTCTGCAGTTAAAGCAGGTATCTTTACCCGTCGGATAAAGTTAAAAGTGCGAAGAGTATCTTACGATTGAAACTTTCTGCAGATAAAACAGGTATCTTTAACCTTCGGATAAAAATAATTTCAGTTATCTGTATCCTTTGAGAACATTTATCTCGAATATATTTTTTTATTCGGCAGTCATCGAATAAAGATAAAGTTATGTATCTTTATTCGACGAGTAATAGATGACAATTTTTCATCTTTATTCGATATTTAAAATTTTTATTTAGATAAAGACTTTGCCCATCTCTGCTCTCCAGAGAGATTCACCCGTAGGTTATTTTCGCATTTTTGCAAATATTTTGAAAATATTGCTTTCTGAAATTTTATCTAGGTATAATCCCAATCAATAATGTACACTGGGCCGAAAAAGTATGCAGACACCTTTGAAGACGCAATTCCCTTCTTCGGAATTTGAGATTTTTTTTAGAAATTAGAAAAATTAATTTATTAGATGACAGAAAAGAAAGATATTGAAAAAGTCCCAACCGGTTGAAATGAAAAAGGAAAGCGCGAGCTTTTATATACGGTTTTTATATATATTAATAAAATAATTATTTACCATTTTTTAACATCCATGGCGATATCTTTGATAAAAGTATTCTTCTCGTTTAATTCCATCCACAATTATCGATCGCGTTCGATCATGCAGTTAGTTCCGAAACAATTGAAAACGTTCGTAATAGATTGCAGTGACCAAATAAATATAGATACATGGAGTGATGTGAAGTTCAAATTTTGCCGGGCGCATACACCATAGAATAAACTTACACAGAATATGAACTTAGCACGTAAAGGAGTGACAGTGGCGCCGCCAAACCTCAATTAAAGTCGGGCTTCATATTCACAAGAGTAGAGCTTGGGGGCCCTGGCCAGTAATGGAGAAAGTGACCGTGATGTGAAAGATTTTGAAATTCCTTGGCTACTCCGTAGATTTGTAGGCTGGCTCGGAATCATGGAAGAGGTGTTCCAAAACGGGAATTATCAGAGGGAGGCGAACGCGAATATGACCACAACAGTAACTCAGAAAGAGGTAACGCTTCGTTTCTCTCCCCGTTTTAATTCGTCCGCCAAATCGATACACATCGCTCGATACTAACGTTTCAAACGCGTTCCCCCGTGAATAATTGTATGAATTTGTTGACTATCGTCCTGTCCTCATCCACCGCGATTTTGGACGTTGCTTGACGTGGAAGCCTTGCCTGCAGCGATATCGAAAACCTGCATACGCTGCAAAAAAATAGAAACGTTGTACAGTGTCTCTCATGCTTTGTTATGATTGATTTGAGTAATTGCGGACTCTCGCCTTTGCGTTTGATGTCACTTTATGACCTTGTTTTTGACACACTATGCCTGTGTTTTTATTATTAATGGATGCACGGTGAATTGCATTTTAACCGACAGATATACCGAATTTAAACTTTTGCGTTTCTTGCGGGAATTATAACTATGTATATCTAATAAGATGTATTTTGTATTTTTAATATTACCTCTGTAGAAAATGATAGGCAAAGATTTCGTTTGTTTATAATTACGTGGAAGTAGGTCATAAATTGTTCGTTGAGCATCATTGTGTTGGCGGTAAATACTTGCACTATATACACGCGACTGTTCCAAGGCATAAACCTACCTATATGTGATATTTTAAATGGCCATGCACGTACTCCGACTAAAATTGAACGTTATTTAAGGAACGTTTTCCGGTTGCATGATCCATTTCTGTAACTTCTACTTGTTCTGTTTCCTTTTGTAAATGTCCTCTGCTAATAAAATTTGTATCTGAAAAATAATTGTTAATTGTGTTAATTGTGTTGCAAATTTTCATAATAATTATTTGTTATACTTGCTTTGCTTTATCTTATTCTATATTCTGTTTGTAATATCCATTAATATCTATTCATGTGCTTGGAATTTTTTACATTACTAATTTTGCTTATTAGGATTCATTATTTGATCACATGGAGATCTCAATAGCTGAGGCTGAAAAACGAGCTAACGGAGCATTGAATTTAAGAGAATTTTATACAGTCTACCTCATTGAGACTAAGTAAGTAATAATATACTCAGGTTAATATCAAGCCTCTACAATTAATATACTGTTAATCATAGCCTGCTATTTAATTTTAATTCATTATGAAAATTACTTTTAAAGCTTCAAAGAATTTAGTATATAATATTATTGTAGAGTTACTGATCCTGATTTTAAAGGTGCGCTCACTAAAGTAAGTTCTTTGTGGCGTCGATACACAGAATTTGAACTGCTTCGAGCTTATTTAGAAATTTCGTACCCTTATATTGTACTGCCTCCATTACCAGAAAAAAAAGTATTATATGCGTGGCAAAAAGTTACTACTGATACATTTGATCCAGACTTTGTTGACCGGCGTAGAGCAGGTCTTGAGGTATATTTATATTTAAGTATATATTCATTTATGTAATTATATAAATTTAAGAATTTGACAAAAATTCCTCTGAAGAATTTCCTTTTGAGGGTAGCTTCGCATCCTATACTGTCTCGTGATGAGCATTTTATGGGGTTTCTACAACAGAAGGATGGCTGGAGGGAAAGCATTAAAGAGACTGGTAAATTGAATAACTTATTAAAATGTATTATTGGTAAATTCCATTATGTATTTATCAATGATATTGCAACCGTTTGTACTTTTAAACAGGATACTTACAGTTAGCAGAATCAAAACTAAAAGCACTGAGTGTAGCAGTGCGATTAAGGAAACCAGACAAACGTTTTGAAACAATAAAAAACTATGGAATTGAACTTCAGGTATGCTGACTATATAGTCAATTAATAGTACAAGTTCAATATTTACAATACTCCTTTAACATCCCTCCTAGAATAATTTATGCAATCTTCTCCGCGTACGAGCGCGATTAGTAGAAAAGCAATACACTTTGTACAAACTACATGCAAACTATGGTCGTGTGTTCAGTGAATGGAGTGCCATAGAGAGGGATATGGGTGATGGATTACAGGTATTTAAAATTTCAAGTACTACGAAATTGTACAACTGCTCAATTTTTGAAGAGTTAAATATGATTAGCTTCTTATCTCATTAAGTGTCTAATGAAAAATCTTTGAATGATAAGATTATGATATGTACTGCAAAGCACACTGCATTACAGCCTGTTTTCTTAGAAATCGGGCCACTATCTGGACTCTCTAGCAGCAATGATAGACACAATTCTTGAAGAGGAAGAATTAATAGCAGATCAACTAAAAGAATGGTTGTTTGGCGCGTCCGCGCTACAAGCAGTAGTTAGACGAAGGGAAGCTTTACAGTTATCTAAAGATGAAGCTCATGATGCCTTAACTACTGCAGTTGACCAAAAAGAAAAAGTCATGCAAGGTTCTATGACAAATATTATTACTATAATCAAATTGAAGCTATAGAATCTATTGAGATAATTTGTATTCGTACAGGTAAATCAGGCTTAATGTCACGATTATTTGGTTCCGTGGATACGGAGGAAGTTCGTGAATTAAAAATACTGCAGCTAGAGCAAAGAATTGCACAGCACGAAGAAGTTGTTAAACAAGTAGATGAAGATCTAAAGTATGCCATTTTGATTAAACTTTGCGTTATAAAACAGTTAATGTGTTATGTAAAAAAATGTTTGACGCAATATTTGTAGGTCTTTCTCCATTAAAGCAATGATGGACATAGAGAGATTTCAACATCAAAAAGTGGTGGACTTAAAGGAAATTCTGGCAACTTATTGCATATTGCAATTTAAGCTTGCTAGAAAGGTAACTACTTTACATTTGAATATAGCTTCAATTAATTTTGTGTCTTCGTACCAATAACTCGATATTATTTCAAACAATTGCAGGGACTCCAAGCTTGGCAGCATATCAAAGGCTGCCTCGAAAGTATGCCATAAGAGTCTTTTCTTATTTTAGCTGACAAAGAACAATAACTGTTCTCACATCTCTCGCGCGATATACATTCCTATATTTGTAAACTCACTCGTAATGTACGCTTATTACTACATGAATGTACAAGATTGTTTCTATTATTTAATGTTAGATTAGATGATATTATTTATATATACATATATATATACACACACGATTCATGTTGGATATATAGATATGTGAAACATTATTTAATATTTATATGTATTTAGTATGCTTTGTTATATATGTAAGACACAGTTAACCGGATATGTGAATGTTCAGACGGTACTTATGGATCTCATCAATCAAGACCTGGTTTATACGTATTATAAACCGCCAAAAGAAAATTTCATGCATTTAATTGATGAAAGTTCGAAGTACGTAATTGTTGGTGTAACCCTTTTTATACACTATCTTCTATCTGCTCAATCGGCTATTCAATTCTATCGTTGTCGACAAAATGTTTGAACTGTATCTTATTTACCGATACAATTGTTGCATTTATTTTTCGTAATGATAGGGACCTCGACGTTATCGTTAAATCATAAAATTTAAGAATCTAAATACTATTTTCTACGTGTAAGACTATGTTTTTCTACGTATACACCTATTTCAGTACAATTCAGTAGCGCAGCTTGAAATGTATACGGGTCGTTTCCTCCTAATGTCGATTTATTTAAGTTTACAAATTCTACGATTTACTGCAACTAATTAAAATCAATACATGTCTACTGTATAACGGTTCCAAGTCATACGATAATTCCTGTATAATAATAATAATAATTTAAATTATTATTCAGAAGTCATTTATTTAGCTGCCTTTTAGACTATAAGCACTCGATAATTCTTCCACATTTAAATTTAATTTTCGTTACAGTATATTTTATTTCATGAAAGCAAAAGAAAACTCTGAAAGTATGATGTAAATATTTTAATAAAATAAAAAAAAAAGAAATTTGATCGTTGAATTATTTGCTAGTAAAAATTTTAACGAAACAAGAAGGGTCTTGCTATAAATGAATTTTCGGGCCAGTAATTTAATTGGACAATTTATTACGTGTGCGCCGGTATAGAAATGTTATACAAATCCGAAGACGATCCGAATAGATCACGAAAACGTTGGGTTTACGATGTTCTCGCTTTTTATACATGTACATTACAAGAGGAGCGGTGTGGAACGATTCTATACAAACATCTAAACGAATCACCACTAAAACGAACCACTAATTAGCGACAATAAAACGTAGAGGGGTGGGATATTATTTACAATTCAGTGCGTTCCACTTGTTCACATGAAGTTCCGCACACTTTGGTATTAATCGAATGTACATACCTGCGTTTACAATACGACTTACAACGTAAATCAGGAATAACGTGCTATCGTCGATATTACTTGTTTATTCTTTAAACGTGACTCGACTATTCGTGTATCGATATTATGAATTAACTGCGCCGGTTGGTTTACCGTGGCCCGAATTTACAGCGGACACAATTATATTTACAATGTAAAATAGGTCTTTCCTTTGTTCTTAGCAATGCAGCTGGCGATCAGAGTTGAACATTTTTTTTTTCACCTTTAGTTTGATGAAGAAATAATATGCGATATGAGTGAAATTGGAAGGAATCATGAATTTGTATCAAGAAATGTTTTAATCTTTTACATATAAAAGGTGAAACATATATATGGTGTTTTGATGTTATGATAGTTTGAGTGGCAAGTTTATGATACGCAGACTCAGTAAACTGAGTAATGTATATTTAAATGACTTTAAAACGATGTCGGAAATTATGAACTATTTCATTTAATTATAAATTTGCAGGAGATACTTATTCAACTGGTTAATGGACATTTTTAAACTTCTTTTGTACAAGGGAAAAATCATCAATCTATTACAATGAACAAAGATGTTCTGTACATTTTCAAAAGTCATTTAAATATTAGTATACAGAATCTATTGTACCTTTCGAATCCTACAAATCTATACGTACCTGCAATGAACATTATAAGCAATTTCTATGTGTTAAAAAATAAACCATAAACTTTTGAAAAGAAACCATTTTGAATTATTTCAAGTGTTAATATTGAAATGATTGGTGTTGGATAATAAAAGGAGACATTGAATGAATTCTCTGGGAAAGAAATTGAATAATAATGAATTAATACCAGAGAAGATGATTAAAAACATGGATATAAATTAATGGAAGATGAAGAGGGTCTTTTAAAAAAATTCTAATCTTAACAAAAAGGTTGTCCTTCATTTATAAATAAAACTTTCTTCAAATAAATATTTTATTTACCATGAACGAACACACATTATTACTGTTTTGATTTCAATTTTTTTTGTTCATACACAAATTTGCCCAACTCTGTCGACGTAACTGCTATGTTCCTCCTCTTTATCTTGATGATAAAAACGCTCTTTGGTCGTTTCAACGAGTCTAAAAGAAACTCGAGAATAAACACAGATCATCCAAAGCGCAAAGGATACAAAATTCAGTTATTAATTTTTGATGCAATCGCTAGATTTTGGGTCCAAAACAGAATTCCAGATGCAATCACAAACTCATTTAATCAATTCATTCAACTTCGATACGCTACTATTCATTCTCTGACAACCCTTGTTATTAACGCAACATGATGTTCTCAACAGAATATTGAAAACCTAAATATACAACCGTTTTTCGTTGAGAGGAATAATCTAAGAAAATTTCACTACATTTATTGCACCCCTCCACTCGTAAAAATTCACTGAAACTGTATGAACATTGACGAAATCGACAATTTCAGTGTACGAGGGTGAATTTCGCTTAAAAATATCCGCACGATGGCAACCTATCTTAATAAATACTCAAATTAATCGTCATTTTCACTATTTCGTCTGCACACTTCGCAAATTATAACAACCTTGTCCTTCCTTTCTAATTTTAATTACTGAACGTAATTAAATTTCATTTTACAGGGGGTGACTTTGAAAAATATCGCCATAGCGTTTTCCACGGACTTATCGATTCTTTACTGATCGTCTCGCGAAAAATCAATTACAATTACTGCGATAAATTCGATCGTCGATTTCATATACATACTTTCTACTTTTGGTAGCTGACAAGAACGAACCTGATGTACGTACCATGAAATAAAGGAAATGAATCTGGATTCTGCCCAAAGGAAAGGTTGGTCGAAGGTTAGGAGATGGTCCAGGAAATTAACACGTCTATCAAACTCGATTTCGCGCGGGAGAATGAGCGACGAAGGCTAAGATCTGCGCGCGCAGCTATGGGAAGTGGTGGGGGTAACTACGCGACTGTACAGGGTGTCCCAAAACTCGCGTAGGAGCCGGAAATGGTAACTGAGATGATTCTGAACAACTTTTTCCTTTGCAAAAATGTCGGTAGAGACTTCATTTTTGAATTATTAACGAAAAACACCGACCAATCACAAGTCGCGAGAGCATAAGCTCGACCCAGGATTGGCTGGTTGCGCCAAGTCGCTGCGTAGCCAGCTGAGCGCGTGCTAATCGGGCACTGTGATTGGTCGGTGTTTTTCGTTAATAATTCAAAAATGAAGCCCCCACCGACATTTTTGCAAAGGAAATTGTTGTTCAGAATCGTCTCAGCTACCCCCTATTTGCGGCTTCTACGCGAGTTTTGGGACACCCTGTATAAAAGGACTGTTTGTTTACTCAACTGTCTTACTTCCAGATCCTTTTTTGTCAGTTTCCAACAGTACTCAACGACTTCCTCGCACTCCTAATCAATAATCGAGTTTCTCTACAATTTGGCAAAATAATTGTTTAAATAATCGTCGACTTTTATTCGCTCCGATACGCATTTCCTTTCCTGCAGTCCTTACGATAGTTTTTAAATTATTTCGATCTAATGGCGGCAACTCGAACCATTGCTGCGATTTTTTGTTATTTAAGCTCTTGTTCCTGCGGATTATTTTCTTTGTTACGATTCGTTTTCTGTTTTTTTTTTCATTTTAGTTATAGAAAAGGTCGATCGCTCTTAACCCTTTCGCGCAGAAATTAATGGTGAGATTTTAAGAAAAGTTGTATATCGTTGGTCAGATTTTGAATAATTATTCGAAATTATTTTTTTATAGTGGAATAAGAATTGAATAAGATTAACATTCGATACATTGGTAGCAAAATATTTTAAAAATCGTGATACACCTTTCTGATAAGAAAACTTTTCATATTTCGGTAACAACAAAATTATTCGTTGCCCAATTGTTCATCAAATAATTATTTCGTAAGCTTACGTACGCCAAACAATGTTTTATGAAAGGACACAACGTTCTACATTTAGTACACATTTAAATATAAGCTTATAATTTTGTAAAAACAGTAAATAGAACGTTCCCTATAAATATACCAATAATAATTTATGCAAATATAATTAGGGAATTTGCGTGCCAAGAATCACTGCGATATAATTCCGTTTAGAATCTCATTCCTAAGGATCTGAATCTTTAAAATATTTAAGTTCCTGAAAGGTGCCTAAATGTTAATATTAAAAAACCCTGAAACTTAATCAGCTTTATCGAACTACAACGATTGCTCTTAATTTTCATTTCATTTAAAATAATGTAATTGCAACATCACAGTAAATCAAGAGTTCACAGTTGTATAGATTGATTCCTGTCTAAGAGGCGCTATCTCGAGACCTTAGATGTCTCTTAGGCGTCGACGAGTCTGATCGATATCCACTCCAAGCTCGAGAGTAGTGCTTGCGAGCACCTTCCGAGGTGGGGGTAACCAAGCGTCTCTTAAGCAGAGAACCATCGCGCCTCTTAGGCAGGATTCACCGTATTCGAAGACTCAGCGACACACCGAAAATTCGGTTTACTAAAATTTGATTTGTTTGGGTTTTCCAGTCGCCGCGGTCGGCTTTGTCGACGAAAAAGGAAACATTCCTCGATGAAAAAGGAAACATTTTACACACGTTCCTCTGGAGAAATCGTGTCAGGCGCGAAAGGGTCAAGCTACCTCTCAAGATAAGCTTCAAGCTTTCCAAACAACTTTCAAATAGTCCCAGCTGTACATTTCACTCTATATTCATTTCACTCTATATTCATTTCACCCCTATGTGTTCTCGCAGACTACTATTCTCTTCAAGCACTTGTTAAAAGAAGACCACGAAGAAAGCGGACACTTTCGTTCTGGCCACACTGCACAACACTATGGACTTCCTGTATCGTGGTGAAGGGAGTCACTGTCACTTTCGAGATAAGTTACGTAGCTATCGGTGCTGTCAGGATGCTGACTCATGTCCGGACCACCGCTGCCAGGATGATGAGGACCGGGCGGTGGCAGAGGACCGCCACCCCCGCCGCCTCCACCGTCGTTCATGGGTCCGCCGAGCATGCCTGGAGGTGGCAATTGAGGTGGTCCACCGTGGAGATCGTAGCCATGCATCTGAAAGAGGATTATCGAATCGTTAATTTAACTTGTTCGTTGCTTATGGTGTCTATAATATAGGATTGATCCAAAAATGTTGGAGGTCCTTGAAGGGGGTGGTTCGGAAGGTGATTTTAAACAACTTTTTCCTTAGCGAAAATGTTGTACGTGGATTCGTTAAGGAGATATTAACAGAAAACTTCGAGCAATCAGAGCGCGGCTGTCTAGTGAGTAGCCTACGCACTGCGGCTGACTACTAGTGCGTAACCTACGCTATCGCGGCTACTAAGCGCGTAGCCAATGTGCTACTGCGGCCGCTCAGCGCGTAGCCTACTCACTGCGGCTGTCTAGCGCGTAGCCTATGCTACTGCGGCCGCCCAGCGCGTAGTTTACGCTCCATGAGCGCTCTGATTGTTTGGAGGTTTCTGTTTATATCTCCTTAACAAAAACCTCAGACAACATTTTCGCTAAGGAAAAAGTTGTTTCAAATCACCTCCCGAATAACTCCTTTCAAGGACCTCCGCCAACTTTCTTGGGACATCCTGTAAATTGAAATAACACTGATACATTGTTAGTTGTACACGTAGCTTGGCTTTCTGATTCTTACACTGATCTTTTCACGCTCTGATTCCAAAATTCTTGCATTCTTGCAGCCTCCCTTTAACTTTATACACACCTAGCGTCTTTCATCTAAATATTCACTGGGTCTCATGCGTTTTCTTCAAGGTACACTTGAAAGTATCGTGCGGTCCAAGCAGGCTTCTCTTACACCTCAAATTCTCTCTCTCTCTCTTTCTCTCTCTCTCTCTCTCTCTCTCTCTCTCTCTCTCATATTCTATACTTATTTACTTCACTTAAATGCAACCACACAATAAATAATCAAGTGGCGTTGATTACCTGTGACACCAAGTGGTGGAACGATGGGGTGTTGGGGTCTAGCCTGTCTAAGTCGGTATGAAGAGCGAAGTCCGAAAGAGCCTTCCACGGTGGTTGATAAGCTTGCACCTCCAGTGGCGTCATTCCTATGGAACTTTCGTGTCTCACGGGACTGCTGGCCACCATTGGAATTCCGTGCATTCCTCCGAAGCCCAGTTTACGACCGTCCTGCAACAGACAGGGTCTCGATTCATGGAATTGTTCTCGAAATTACGTTTTATTGTACTGTAACTAGGGTGAGTAATGGGGTTAATTTATGGGGCAGTGTCGGGTATGATCGTGGACTGTTCATCGTTTTATAGGGAGTTCAGGACTTGAGGATCCCAGGGTTCGGATATTGCAGGAGTCTCAGAATTTAGAGATGTTGTGGGTCAGCGATACTAGGAACTAGAGATCTCAGGTTCTAGAAACCTCAAGGGTTAGGGATTCTAGCATCTGCAGATTACAGAACTTTGGGTACTAGGTTCTAGAGATCTTAAAGTTTACGGATTCTAACACCTACAGATTCTAAGACTCAGAGGTACTACGACTTAGAAATCTCGGATTTATAGAGATCTCAGAGCTTAGGGATTCTAACATCTGTAGATTCCAGGACTCAGAGATTCCAAGATACAGAGATTACACGGATTAGGGATCTCAGGATTGAAGAAATTTAGAATCTGGAGTTACCATGACACCATAAAATCAACATAATTCCAAAAATCAAGCATCTCAAGACACTCCAAGATTCAATTTAAGCATCTCAAGGCACTTCAAGCTCCAATTGAAACATCTCAAGGGATCTCAAGCCTGAAGTTTGGCACCCCTACCCACCTTTTCCTGCATCTGTTGCTTCATGGCGATGGTCTTCTTCTTGTCCTTGCACCGTTTGTTCTGGAACCATACCCTGATTACGCGCGGACTTAGGCCCGTCATCTCCACCAGCTGCTCCTTCATAAGTGCGTCGGGTCGCGGATTCGCTGCGTAACAAGTTCTCAGAGTGTGAAGCTGTTTCTCGTTCAGCACTGTGCGAACTCTGGTCGGCTTTCCGTCAGAACCGCCGCTGCTTTTATGGCTGCCCGTTCCTCGATTGCCTCCCACGCTGGCTTTGTGTGATCCGCTCTCGGACCCCGAATCTGCGAACACGTCGATTAAATCACGATTAAACGTTGAAGTTTTAATGGACGAATAGTGATTGATGGAGTACGATTACTGTGACCTCAATTGCTATGATTTCGATTGTTGCAGAAAGCTTGACAAGTGGAGAGGATGATCTATTAGAGTGGAGGAGTAATGGGGATGTGATTTGGGGGAGGGGGGCTTCTATTCATTGGTTATAGTGATTACATATGTTTTGTTCGTGATTCTAGAATGTGGAGACTTCAGGACTTAGAAGTATTAGGATTTGGAAATTTTAAGTTATAGAGACCTCAAGATTTAGGGATTTTAGCATCTATAGTTTCCAGGACTCAAAGCTACTAGGATCTAGAGATCTCAGCTTCTAGGGATTTCAAAACTGAGAGATCATAGCGTCTGCAGATTCCAGAACTCATAGGTAGTAGGATTTTGAAACTTCAGGTTCTAGAGATCTCAAAGGGGTGAAAGTGGGTATAAGAGAAAAGAGTTTAGGGAGAATTGAGAGTGTGTAAAGGATGAATGAAGGGAGTGAGTAAAGTGGCAGGAGGTGAAAGATTGAATGGGAGAAAAAGTGAGGTTAGGAAGTATAGTGATACGCTTCTCATTTGGAATCAAAATCTGACTTCTCAGGGAAGAGCAACGCGACTAAATTAGGAGATATGTAAGGCTTCCACTCGTTGATTACATTAATTACACACATTTTGTTCCGGATCATTGTTTATGATCATTGATATGAACGGACGTCTTTACCATATCTCAAAGTTGATAAAGTTATCGTTGTAAATAAATGTTCAAAGTTATTATTCTTTTATAAATTGAGTTCTTATAATGGTTTCTCCTCACTCTTCGGCACCCTGGGCGCAACAATATAAAATCAACTATTAGAATGGTTTGAACAAATCCATCAAGAAACTATTTCCTGAACCGATTCACTGCCCGTTTGGAGGGAAACTGACTTCTCGAGGAAGAGCAACGCGACTAAATCAGGAGAATGAAGAGTAGAATGCTGTCGTCCCCAACCGGTCTTGCGAAACGTTCCTCTCTGGCTAATGGGAGATCCGGATAGCGGTTCAACATGGCGGATGGAGAACGCAAAGACGAATGTCTGGTAGGTATTCGAGAGCCGAAAGACAATATTGTCGATGAGCAAACTTCAAACGCGATTCCGTGATCGGCGTCGAGTCCAAAAAGGAGGATCGAAGACGTCTTCGAGAGCGTTTTTGTGGAATCGAATGGCGATCCAGGAGAATTTACCACGTGGACTTCGGTGGATTCTTGGATACCTAGAGTTGATTAGGTATGAAGTCCAATGTACCATTTTGTGTACTGTAGTAATAAAGAGTGTCCTGAAGTTAATGCAAGATTTGAATTTGCCGCCATTTTTGCAGTAAATTGTTGGCAACCTTGAAAAAAGAACTATTTGACAGCTGAGAGTTTAAGGTTAGTAAAAATGGAGGTTATACGATACAACAATATTTCATTATTAAACAATATTTCAAAAATAATGAAAGTTTGACGGCCGCAGTTCGAAAATTTTATACAAAATATGGTAGAAATAGTGTTTTAGTGCTGAACCCATAACCTGTAGCAGAGGTTACAGGGTTACGCAATGAGAACACATGATACATGAAAACTTTACTGGTATACCACACGAGATGGCGTACATGGTTGCCAATTGTGAAAAAGGAATATTTCCACTATATGCATGTTTGCCAACATGGAGATGAAAAACATTTCCAACAGTTTTTAAAATCTAGGCGTCCATCTTGGTCTTATATCATCTTATGGAGTCGTCTGTAACAAGTTTCCAAAAGAAAAAAAACTTGTGCTGCCATCCAACAATTAAAAACGAACTTTATAGAAGTGGACTTGAAAGTCACAATAGGTTTCAAAGAGTTTAATTAATACAGTAACACGAGAAAATTTACGTACAAGTTCCGCCAGTAAATAAAGGGTTAAGTAAACTAGAGTTCACGTAAAAAGGGTACCTGGAAATGGTAATCGATTGAAAGTGTTGCTCGATTAAAAATGGAAGGCATACAAAAATTGTATCGTTAAGAAGTTGATATTAAATGTTTCTCTCTACGAGTTTCAGCAAGGATCAGAGTTTTCAGGTTTAGTTCCCTCGTCGGTCGCATCGATCAGAGAAGAGGAGTGCTCGAACGAGCCGAAAAAGAAGAATCACAAACCTTTCGGGGCACATTTCAGGCGGCCAAACAGAGAAACCTGTTGAGCGTCGAATTTCATTAACTACTAATTAACGAGTAATAAGTAACTCGTGCCACGATAAGGATCCAGTTTCCTTGCCGGCGTCCTTCGGAAGGATTCGGTGGCCGGAATCGAATGTTTGCGGATGCTGAAGTAGTCAACGAAATCCTACGTCTATTTCTACGTACTGGGGTTCCCAGAAAATACCATGGCTTTGATCAATTTTCTTCCTGCCACTTCTAAAGAGTGAAGTATGCTTAAATTTTAATCGTGTTAAAGATGAAGATGTACTTCCATATCCTTTTATTTTTAGACTTCACACAAATCTATCAATTCTTTTTAGAAAAGGAAGTTGATTTTCATATTCTTTGAAGACATCCAACAGAGTAACGTTAAGTGTCATTTTATTTGGATGACATACTTTTTTTTTTTTTTTGACAAAATTCATTGTATTGTATTTTTATTTTCAGCATTTTATGTCAGTAACATTGAATGTCATTTTATTTAGACGACATTTTATTTGAATTTCATAAAATTCATAACATTTTAATGTATATATATATGTATACAAATAAAATGTCGCCTAAATAAAATGGCACACAACGTTACAGAAATATTAAAATAAATATACATTATTAAAATGCTGAAAATAAAAATAAAATAAAATGGTGAAACAAAAAAGAACTAAAATATATATATTAAAATAAAATGACTTTTATAAAATACAAATTGAATGTTGTCTAAATAAAAGGACATTTAATTTTTTTTCTGAGCATTTTATATATATATACAAGTGTAAAGTTCATCCACGTACATATATATAACGAAACATTTATTTGAAAACATCGAACCAATTATTTAATTTAAACAAATTTCTTTACGAGACGTAGAGGATACGAATATTTATGAGACTGTCTGTATACATGAATCCAAGATGTAAGAATCTAGTGTTACACGTCAGTCCAAATTCGAAATGAACGCCGTGAATATTCGAAAGGCAAGTGCTGTCGGTGGGCCTCAGGTGAAATCCTGTCGGTGGAACGGCTCCAGGCGTGATTTTCATAGCTGGCCCTCCCATTAACTCGTGTAAGAAGGAAGCGACTCCCGAACGGGAGACAAAAAAAGAAAGAGCACAACGAAATAAACTTTCATAAAGGAAAAAAAAACGAGGAAATGAAAGGGATCGTGCGTAGCTATGTGCCACGGTAGTTGGCAGAGAGGTGTTACATTTGACACCTCGGCGCCTCTGTAAAGAGTTGTCAAACCACTGCCCCGTCGTGTGTGCCGTGGTCCAAGGTGCCGTGAATCGAGAGAAAAAAAAATAAGAAAGATGTTTAGAAGCAACAATCTCCATAAGGAAGCTCCCATGTGACAAACACCATGGAAAATATGCGGGTCGCGCGCGACTCCACGAAATTGTTTACGGCGGGAATTAGGAGGGACGTATTCCAACTGGCCTCCGTGTCGCGTACTATACAATTTCCAATTATCACCGATTAACCAGCGCCGTGGCACGTCGTTAGACCGTACGTCTAAATGTACGCTGAATAACAAAGCTATTCCAGTGGCGGTGGCATGGGATTCATTCACCGTTTAATCCCTATGCACGTGGTATAATTTTTCTGCTCGCCGAGTAACTGTCTCGTACTTGTCTCATTTTGACCATTTTATTTCAGTAACGTTAAGTGTCATTTTATTTGTATTTTACAAAATTCATTATATTTGTATTTTACAAAACGCATTATATTTAAATGTATATCTTCTTTTATTTTTATTTTCTGAACATTTTATTTCAGTAACGTTAAGTGTCATTTTATTTGTATTTTACAAGATTCATTGTATTTTACTATATATATTTTTCATTTCTTTTTTTGAGCATTTTATTTCGGTACTGTTAAGTGTCATTTTACTTGGATGACATTTTATTTTTGTTGCCAAAATTCATCGTATTTTATTTATTTATTTTTTTGATCATTTTATTTCAGTAACATTGAGTGTCATTTTATTTAGACATTTTGTTTGTATTTTATAAAATTCAATTTATTTCAATATGTATATTTTATTTATTTTTCTTTTGATCATTTTGTTTCAATAATGAATTTCATGCATTTATGATATACACTAATATATAAAACATACAAAATATACATACATATAATATATGTAGAATATATGCTACTAATTATTGGATAATTTTATATATATAATTCTATATATATTAAGTAACCAGAAAAAATATTTACTGAGGTTTAATACTTCTCCTTATATTTACATATTTAGCATTATATATTTGTTCCATTCACTCCTATAAACACATAAAATGCATGATATCCGCAGTCTAGTTATAATGAATAACTTCGTAAACAATGTAAGATTGCTCATAGCCTGATTGCTCTATATAATAGAGCAATGTGATACAACGTGATCACTGATAATTAAATTATCATGAACGCGAGCCTCATTGGACGTTTAATCCAGCGTATCCATTCAATGTGTGTTTGCATATTAGGACGGCTGGCTCGAAGAACACTAATCCCGTGTAATCCCGGTGCGTAGGAGGGAAGTGGTCAAGCCTTCCAGGTCTTAGCGGCTTCAATTATCAACACCTAATTATGACCCCGGTGATCCTAACACAATACCGTTATGTCAGGAGGGCCCTTTGAGCCTCCCCTCGAGCGCGTACCCTTTCGCAAATTTGGTCTTTGTGCCTAGATAGCCCGTGTCCAGGCAATTTAATCCACAAGTTAGTTGCGCATGTCTGACGACGTGATAAAAGTCATGAGATACGCCATCCAATCATGTTTCGCGAAACTTGCTACTTGGATTAATATCGTACGTGTTCTTTCGAGTGATATACCAATAGCTAAATTAAATTGAATTTAAATTTCGAGGAGTAATTTTGTTTAGAAAAATTAGATTTGTGTTTGTGATTGGGAAGAGTTGGTTATTAGAGCATTTTAAGTATATAAAATTATTGTTGAAAGTGAATTTAAATTCTGAGAAGTAATTTTGTTTAGAAAAATTAGATTTGTGTTCGTGATTGGGAAGACTCCATTACTAGAGCATCCTAAGTGTGTAAAATTATTGTAGGAATTAAATTAGATTCTGAGGAGTAATTTGGTTTAGAAAAATTAGATTAGTGTTTGTAATTTGGAAGACTCCATTACTAGAGCATCCTAAGTGTGTAAAATTATTGTAGAAATTAAATTTAAATTCCGTGGTATAATTTTATCTACAAAAATCAGATTAGTGTTTCTAATTAGAAACAATTCGATTATTAGAACATTTTAACTAAGTAAAACTATTACAGAGATTAAATATAAATTCCTAATAATAATTTTGTCTAGAAAAACCAAATAAGCATTCATAATTTGGAAGACCAGAGTTAAAACAGACTCAATTATCGGACTATATTAAGTAGCTATAATAATCATAGACAAATACTAAAAGGAAAATGGTTCTTCTACCTGATATCGAGCCGTCGTTGGGATGCAGATGGTGGTTGTTGTTCATGAGTGAAGCGTTGTTGTTGTTCTCGTTTCCAGGAACACCAGCGGCCCCCGAACAGAGTTTTCCGCCTTCCAGGACGTCGTGATCGTGCCTACAGAAGAGACCATCCTGTCTCAAGGCAAATTCGTCGCCAGGTACCAGCTGCCTCATGCACGCCGAACATCGGAAGCACTTTATGTGATAAATCTTGCTCTTTGCTCTCATCACGTAATCATCCTTGCTGAAGCACTCGCTGCACTTGTCGCATTTCGTCCCGAATAGCCTGAAACAAATCGAATTGTCTTTAATAATACATTGGAAATTGGATACTCAATCGCGGTTCGTTAATAATTCCAGTAATCGTTCATTGATGGAAAAAACTAAATTATATTAAATAAAATAAGTGTAGAACGTACATAAAATCCTCCAAATAATACGTGACATGTTTCTTCCTTTAAACTTAATTTTTATCAAATAAATTCACGACTCGATAAATGTAAATTCTGAGAATCTAGTCACCGATTGTTTTGTGACAATTTTCAGATAACATTAATAATGTGTTATATTTATAATCTTCCTTTATTTTAACGTGAAACGTTTGTTTAGATCGAGTAACACAATCAAGTTTAGACAAGCTTGCACTCAATTGTGTAAAATAATCAACATAAGACATTTAACTAATGGATTGCAGGATTCTTTCGGGCATTATTAATTATCGGGCATAATTAATTATCGGGCATAATTTACTCTTTGTTAATTAGAGATTTGCAACAAACCCTCTTTATTCATAATTAATACCAATTAGTTACGTCGACTTTCATGTATTCGCACTTTCCCGCAAAATTGAGCTTACAGGCCGGTCCTGGAGCAGTTAATTATCGGTTTTTGAACTAATTGTGTCAGGTTTCTCCGATCGAGGTAAATTGCATTCATTAGTCGACAAATTGCCTAATTTTATTAATAGAAAGTTTCATGCGATCCGGAATTCAGTCCTGGTGGTAGCCAGTCAATTGCCAATTATTCGAGTAATTGCGTTACCGTGTATCGATGATAATTAATTGAAATAGTTAACATTCCGATGGCTGTTCAGCCGTGACGCAACGTAACGTATCGGTTAAATCACTTTTTTCAGTTTATAGAACGGAATGAAAGGAATACCACGCGGAGGCGATGCAAAGGCGAAGAAATGGAAGGTGACGACGGCGATAAATCATGTTTAGCAACTAATAATTGACACTGCGTTGGCGATGGTTAGCTATTCCTGATGCATCGTTCGATACATTGCTCCGACATTTGGAATTAAATAGAATTCTACGACAGCTTGGAAGGAATTAATTACTTTGAATGCTTTGTCAATAATAACACTAGTTTACAAAATAAAAAAGAAATGTACATTCAATGCCACAATTTTTTTCTTATGTATTTTGAACTGCATAACTCGAAAATCGCAATGAAAAATTTTTCTATGTATAGGTTTTTTTATATGAATTTTTGAATTTTTTTTACTAGTCTACAAAATTAAAAAAAATGTACATTCAGTGCCACAATTTTTTTCTTATGTATTTTGGCTTATTAAACTCTGCAACCGCAATGAAACATTTTTCTATATACAGGTTTGCTTTATATGAATTTTTGAATTTTGTTTCGATTTTTTTCTGAGTAAAATTCACATTTTAGGCTATATTTCAAATCATAAACCTCCGATTGGGTCATGCAAGGTGCCATATTAAAGGTAATCCAATTTCTAACAATTTCTTCTTATATTGTTTTCCAATCCGTTCAATAGTTTAAGTGTTACAGGCCTATCTACACTCGTACAAAAAAGATAGGGGACACTTTTGAACCCTAAAAAGTAGGCTGTATTCCAATAGCTAAGTAAGTCAGTGAAAAATCATCGTAAAAATAAAATTAAAAAAGCGTTTTAAAGCTTGAAGTTTCAACTTTAACGTGCTATTATGCGATTCTTAAATTTCTATTGTATTTTTGTTTTGTGTTTTACAAAGTAACACGTAATTTCCTTAAAATTACGTATTTTTAACAACTCGAAAGTCAATGCAAAAATATTATTTCGAAAAGTTCAACTCAAATTGTGTAAACTACAATATGTTACCTATAAAACGCTTTTTTAGAAATTGTCCTATAATTTTTTCTGACCGATTTATACGACTTTGAACAAAAATGCGCATTTTTTACAAAAGGTATCGATACTAAGTGAAAAATCATCGTAGACAAAAATACGAAAAAGCATTTTAAAGTTTGAAATATCAATTTTAACGTAATATTGATGGTTTAAACAAATTTTTTTGTCTTCCTTGTTCTGTGCTGCAAAAAAGAATGCATTTTTTGCGCATAAGTGACGAATCCTTAATAATGCCCAGCTTAATAAAAAAATTTGAATGTACATTTTGGCTGTAAATTAGTATGATTCTTTTCAAATTTTCGAATCCAGATCCGAGAAGTAGCCATTTCTTCCATCTCCATTCCCCTCGAACGTAGAAACGTGAATTCGTAGATCGGGCGAGATTATTCAGGACGATCCACGTCAATCCATTTCATTCCGGATCCAATAAATTGTTTTTGTCAGACATTAAAGCTATTACAAGACATGATAGTCGAGGAAAATTGCAGAAAATGGCGGCCGTAGTAAGTTTAAGTAGTAGTTTAAGTTTATTAAACTTAGTTTAACGGGCTTCGCTTAATTCGGCGAGACGAATTTATCGCACAGTTCGCGAACAAAGGAAATCAAAAGAAGCAAGTACACCCGCGAAATCTTGAGGAGCGAATAAAAACGGCCCCGGCCGAGTGCAATATGGTAATTAATGCAAAACTGGTAGCATTCTCCAACGACACGCGATACGGTCTTTTCGGAACGCATTTGCAAACGGTGAGATTCCAGGGAAATAAAAACAGAATAAAAACGCTCCCTCGACGAGGGAGAATTGGAGGAAGGGAAGGGAACGAAGAAAGTAAGAACTGACAGAGCGTTTCTTCAGAGTATTTTTATCCGAGATATACTGAGCAGAAGCTGCCGTCCGCTCAGAGAAATGCATCCGTAACAAAAAGTGCAGTTCACACGTGGTTGCGTCGAACCGACGGAATCGAATGCAGAATTAATTGTCTTGGGCTAGGTTTATGGAAAATATTTCGTGAAGAAATGATGTAGATCAGGTGAATCTCGTCATTGGAAGTGATAAGTAAGTAAAATAGAATTTGTTTAAATTATCTTTTATAAGGATAGATTGCCACTTTTTTTAATTTTGGAAATTGCCTTGAGAAAAGAGAAATATGGAATTTAGTTGCTACGTATGAGACACGTCGCCATTTTTATTTTATTTAGAGTAGTGTCTGCTAAGATGGCGCTGCTGTTAGGGTTAAATTGTCTTTTATAAGGATAGATTGTTATATCTTTTATTTGATTTTATAAATGTCCAAGGAAAGATGGTAGTATACTTTTTAGATTGTATGGATCAAATGAACAGATGAAGATTATTATTGAAAGGAATAATTTACAAGGTCCTAGTTTTCCTTAATATTAAAAATTGCGTTAAGAAAAGAGAAATGTGGGATTTAGTTGCTACGCATGAGACATGTCGCCATTTTTATTTCAGAATAGCGTCTGCTTAGATGGCGCTGGACCAAATTCAAATTTCTTAGTTGTTACGTTTTCCAGAATAGTGAAACAAATTCCTTACCTAATTTTCTTAATTTCTCCTCTATCAATAATTTCGATTATATACAATTCGAATATATACAAACCTAAGAAATAACTCGAAAAAGAATGTCTCGTGCACTCTGTCCACTCTTTCCTCGCGATCCAAAGATGGCAGATCGGTTTGAGAGGCGCAAAAACACCAGGAGGTTTTAATTTAAACCTGGAATTGAGAAACCACCGACTGGCGAGAGAATAAAAAGACTAAACACGCGCGAATAATCTAAACAAATAGAGAGAAGGGGCACAGTGAGGCCGATTCACGAGTTTCGCGGCGTTCGCGAACGTAATCCGAAACGAGTGGCGTCATCGGAAAGAGAGACGGGACTTTTTAACCGGCAGCGTCGATTCGGGGATCCCCTTGGCAACCTGCGCCAAATATTTTTCTCCGCCGAGGACAGGCGGTTTATTTGCATTGATCCATCGGACGTCGAAATGCCTCCGTGACGAAGAAGAAGACTGGCGTATCCGGTCGGCACGGATTTGCCAGCGACGGAGAGACACCGATGACGCGTGTTTGTTGTTACTATCGTCTTGGTCGAAAAGTCGAAACAACCGGGGTAAAACGTTCCCTTCTGGGTGTTCCCTTCGGTTCTCGTTCCACTGTTATCGAACGTCCAGCAGAGACATTTAACAATTTTAAGTTGTTCGCTATTAATAATAAATGTATTGTAATGTGAATGTTGGATGAATGTTAATATTTAAAACCACTAGGTATGTTTATACGTTTTATAGTTGTCAGTTATGTTTGTGTTAGTAATTTATTAATTAGTCATTCATTTTGTATTTTATATTGCGATTTGAATTTGTCTGTGATATGTTGTCTGTTGTCTTTGAATTTTAACAGTTTTACGCCGAACCTCGAAATAAATATCCTTACAAATATGTAGTAAATGTATATACTACAGAAAAAGGAATGGATTGGATTGGAAAAAGAAAGAGAGGGAAAGTGGAAACTCGAATGAAAGGCTGCTTTAGCTTCTAAATTATACAAATTGCATATTATTGTTGATATTTCATGAAGGCATGAATGCATTCATGTATGCATAAATTCATGTATGCATTCATAAACATTCTAATGGATTAATACAATGATAATCGGTTTACTCTTGGAGCTCATTATTACTATGCTGCGATTTATGCGAATTTAAAGAAACTTAAACAAAAGTAGCTGAAAATAGAAAGGATCATTCAAAATGTGTATTATTACAATACACCTGTATTGTTTTCTTTCTCGATAGTCTGAACATATCGCGCTGATACCGATCATAACCTCGATTTGCAGTGACTAATGAAGACGTACATTATACGTTATTAGTGCTTCTTGGTGTTTTGTTCAACCTCCCACAGCGTTCCTATCAATAGATTTTAACGTATCGTTCGTTGTGTGTAACGTATCGTTCGTTTTGTTTCGCGATCTTTTAAAATAAACGTATTATACAATATATTAAAAACACGCACCGTGAAGCGACGCCACGAGAGAGTGAGTGCAAGGGGAAATACAGGAAAGACAGCAGAACAAAAGGACAATGCTGCCAACTTACACGGACCGAATAACCCTTCATTGGTAACGACAGCAAATCTACCACTACGCTACCATTTTCACGCCACAGTTCGTTCCAGTGTCTCCCACTTACATATTCAGTAATTGTCTCTTGTTTCTCATTTGCTTAATAATTGTTCCGATAACGTATCAGCTAATTATCCAATTATCCTATTTATGTTCCAACTCGAAGACTAATATTTCCTCGCGCTTTCGCCGTTTATTACCGATAGCAACGCTGAATAATTCATTACCTGACGTAATCCCGTTTGCAGTAGGTTTTTCCATCTCGTACGAAGCAGGTGCAATGCTCGTCCAAAAACTGCTGGCACTCCGCGCACTTCAAACATGCCGCGTGCCATTCCAAATTTGGCGCTACTCTCAAAATCCACTGATCGTGGATTCGGCCGCCGCAGCCTACGCAATGCGAAGTTGTGCTTTCTGGAAATAAAAAAAGAGACGATTCTCTTAGATATAATTGTATATACAAACTCGTTAATTAATGTTTAATGATTGCCGTATTTATTCTGCATTATTATTAAATGCAGTTGCATATTGTTCATATAATTTATTCTCTACTTCTGTCATTAATTTTTTTGAGTTATAAATATTAGGGTGAATCTATTGAAATTATTTTATATTGCAAGTGTTATATACCATTTTGTAGCTCTTCAAAAACGCACGAAATTTCGGTTCACCCTAATAGTCTTTATTATAAATAATAATAATGATAATAATAATACTTTATTTAGTGGCAATATGTCCTTGATACCAAATACAATAACAAAAATAAAAATACATATTACTTATATTATAGAATATTTTTCTAATAATTTTTTTCTAAGGACTATAATTATATACAAGGACTAAATATTCATAGTTGTTATATTAAATCTTCAACCAAACGAACAATTTATTTACCCGAGCTTCATCAAAGTGCCATTGGAAATCATTTCCCTCATTTAAAAAATGAGCTAAAGAACAGTGTATCGAACTAATGAGCAATATAAACTGTATCTCGAACAGTAAATTGTTATAAACAGAATTTTACTGTACAATAAAATAGACCCGAAAGTGAAATAACGATGAAAATGATAAAAAGTAGTCTCACCTCTAAAATGCAATTTTTCTTCCATAAAGATAAAATCGATACGTTCCATATTTACGAGTAATTTACAAAGTTGCACGGTTGCGTCGCTAAAAACGGGTTCGACGTGAGTACGGCGAGCTGAAGTATGCAAAGGTGCATAATCGATCATGATATTAATGCTCGTTTCATTTATTCACTAAATCGATCATTATAAAGCCATCCACTCGTTGCGTATTAGTCACGTATTAGCGACGGGATCAATGTTAATGGATTGAATGTCAGTCGATAAATTATTAACGAGGGCATCGGTTTACCAATCGCTGGCTAATCAGATTGCCCCGTCGATTGTGTTTAACGAGCTTTCCTCCACTTTTGTTATCGTTTACTACCACGATTAGCGTTTATCGTCGACGATAGTTTCTCTTTTTTTATTTTGCGTATTAAAACGCAAGCTTCCAAGGCATTTATAATTGCAGAAACGTGAAAATCCAAGAATCTTAATAGGCGTAAAATATAGTTTTCTATATAATTAAAATAAGCTCTGTTGAATGTAGGATTCTAAGAGTGTTTTTATTTTAAATTATAATTTTTAACTTCGACAAAATTTCAGCTGCATTGGACAAAGATAGCAGAAATTATGGAAAAATCATAAGTACACAAATATCGAACCTTAGGTTAACACATTCACGCCGGCGTTGCTATTTGGGATTCTCGTTACGGGGCGGCGCGGTGGTACATGCCATCTGATAGACACGCTAGCGTGAGCCACCGGTGGTACACGCCGGCGTGAACGTATTAAAGCTACTCTTCAAATTAAAGCTACTCCAGCACACTGTTCTCTTCACCCTAAGTCTCGCCACGTAGAGCTTAGTAAAACTTTGAGTAGTGAAATTAAATATACGATAATCAATGAATTTTTGTTCAATGAATCAATGAATTGCAGGATCAATGTAAATAAATAAAATAACAGAAGTTTGCATATAGAAAAAGACCGAGATATAGAAATAGAAATAAGAACCACGTGATATCTTTAAACTTCAACAGTCAAGTTGTCACGTGACGTTCAGATTGTAATGATACGTGCGCCATAGGTGGTGAAACACGAAAAAAGATCAAGCGAAAGGGTGTCCATTGTTACAGTTCGCAAATGCACAGTCTCTTCAAGGTAAACGGTCCTTAATTGTGGCTGACGACTCGTCACAGCCGGACACTTCTCGCGAAAATTACAGTCATCGTCTTTTGTTCCAGGAGTGAGTGCGTGGTAAAAAGCAGGGAAGACGAGATTTCAGCGAGGGGATATCGATAAGCTTTCACGCGTAAAAGGGAACCAGCGTCAGAGAGCCTCGTCCTCGAGCAAATCTCATTCACTCTCACAATACATATACAGGGTGAAACGATAAATGTAAATCCCTCGCGAAGAGGTAGCCACTGTCGATTAACTTGGGTTGGGTACTTGTGCTAGTCTAGTTCGACGCCACCTTCTTTACAGATGTGAAGTTAACAGAAATATATAGATTAGAGGAAAGCGGTGGCTATGAGAATTCTAAGGTTCGACGCCATTTTTTTTTACAAAAGCAAAATTAACAGAACTATCCATATTAGATCACAGGTTTTACTATGAGAATTCCAAAGTTCGGCGCCATTTTCTTTAAAGAAGTGAAATTAATAAAACTATTCACATTAGATCACAGCTTTTGCTATGAGAATTCAAAGGGTCGACGCCGTCTTGCTTACAAATGAGAAATTAATGAAAGTATCCACATTAGATCACAGCTTTTTCTATGAGAATTTCAAAGGTTTGACGCCATCTTTTTTACAAATGTGAAATTAACAGAATTATTCATATTAGATCACAGCTTTAACTATCAGAACTCAAAGGTTCGGCGCCATCTTTCTTCCAAACGTGAAATTACCAGAACTATCCACATTAGACCACAGCTTTTGCTACGAGAATTCCGAAGTTCAACGCCATCTTTTTTCCAGATATATAATTACTAGAAAAATTCACAATCTACCACTAAGAATCGAAAGCTGAGAATTCCTGGAGTAAATCAATCAAGTCGCTTATTTCCTCAATCCTCACTAGCCCTACATCAAGTGAGGCTAGACAAAGAGGTCTTGAAATCGGAAAATCAGGACATCAAACAATTAAAACCCTCTGCAAAAAAGTTTCTAGTTACTGAACCAACCAACCAACCAACCCCAAAGCACCAATGGCGTATACTCCAGAAACCACCTTGCGAAATTCGTTAGGCGTGCGGCATCGCAATGAAAACATCAAAACGGAGCGATGGCTCGAACGAAACGAGCACCGGTGAAATAAACAAGCGACGAAAAAGGACGTTTGCGGCACTTCGAGGGACAATATTGCGACAGCCGTCAGATTTAGGGGCGAGAGGAGAGGACTGACGCGAGATGGCGCGCCGAAATTTATCGAACATCTCGCTGGTCGTACCGATAAGACTCGAAGTTCTCGAACGCCGCGCAGAAATGCATTTCGCGACGAGAGGCGAGGACGCCAGGCGCCGACTCGATGGTTACGACCTCGGGAATCTGGGCGGAGCCACGAGCTGCCCCGCAGCGCCACGCTCCGCCCACCTGCGTCTCCCGTTCGTCCTTCCACTCTTACTGGCCCCCACCCCTGCTCCTACCACCCCCAACGGGACTTCTTCTGTGGTCCGTGCACGGCGCAAACGCGCCTCGACTAATTTCAGAGCGATGCACTCGACAGTGGAGCAGACGCCGCGACTGGTATCGACGCTTCCCGCTCTCGACGCTCCTTGGGTATTCGTTTTTCTCTGTTTGGACGATTGTAATACATGAACTGATGGGCTGCATTGGGAAGAGAGAGGTGAGGGAGAATTTTCAGGGAGGATTTTTTTTTATAATTTGGAGGGGAGTTAGTAGAGCTTGGAGTGGTAAGGTTAGGTTTGGGATGATTGATACTTTGGCTCATTATTGATGATTGTAATCCACGAACTGATGCATTGCATTGGGAAGGCAGAGGTTAGATAGGGAGAATTTTGGATAGTTATTTAGTTGGATAGTTTGCTTGACGTGTTTATTTCTATGAGTGTGACTCGGAGGTCAGAACACGAATGGATAACACAAGACCTCGAAGTCGTTAAGTTATTAATATACATAATAGATGTCGCGATTTTTAAATGCTTTCTACAGAGAATTCTCAGGGAGGATTTTGTTGATAATTTAGAGCGAAGTTAGCAGAGCTTGGAATAGTAGGGTTAGGTCTGGAATGATTGATACTTTGGGTCTTTATTCACGAATGTAGTCCACCAACTGATGGAAACATAATGAGAAAGAATCATATAAGTG